TTTAATTCTTTGAGTAATATTAGTTGTATCTTTACCTGCTGTTGTGTTTTCTATCCTGTCACCGGTAATAGATCGTTTTCTGCTTTTAGCAGATTGTAAGTCTTCTTCAGGACCATTTGAGTCATTATTTAAAAGGCTAAATCTATTTTTGGTCTCGTAGTCACTATTTACAGTAGTTCCGTTACCTTTCGTTATTCCTTGTGAGGTCGATAGTTGGTTATCATCATCAGAAAGTTCCATATTTGTGTTATTCTTATTTTTTAATGTACTTAACAAACCTGTGACATATTCGGTGTTCGTATTCGATATGTCGTTCAGAATGTTATCCGTTTCTACAAGAGGTAATCCTCCATTGTAGTCAATCTTAGGCCCCCCCGAAGGGAGCATTTAATACGAATTGCAAAAATACAGTTGTAGTTTTTAGTTCGAAACACTGGTAAATTATTATTATTGCACTCACTTGTTCGATTTACGGTTATGTAATATTTTTGAATCACGATGTATTCACTTTGAGGTCTGAGACCAGAAATGAATGCAGGAAGTATTATCATCAAGTAATAATGCAACTACATGTCTCTCTCAACACAATCTAATATCTAAATACCTCCTAATTTATGGCATAGTAGTAAATTTCAAAGAAGAAAAACATCATTTGAGCCATTAGGAATAGATGTCAAAATCCAAAATAGATTTTCGGTCTTTCCATCAATAGACACAGCAAATGATGACAACGTAGTTAAACAAGCTTCAATTAGTAAGCCCCCTCCAATATTTATGTACGTAGTTAAAGATAATAATGATATGTCAAATCCATTAAAACGGTCAATATTTCCTGAGAAGTTTAGCTAACAATACATTTAAAATTATATGTAATTCTGTAGACCATTTTCGAATTTTATCCAGACATCTAAAATAAACTAACGCTGTATATCATACATACCAATTAAAATAAAAGAACGACCTCGGAGCAGGTAACATCGATAAGCGTTCAGTGAATATATTTAAAGTGACGTAATGGAATCCGGACAATATGGGCAAGAGGGCGGACGCCCGCCCGACTGTTCAACTAAGTGTTCTGTGATCGGTAAAACCATTGCAACGGCAATGAATACGATAAATGATAGTTATGATAGTGAAATGTTAATGAGTGAAATTAGTGAAGAAGAATTAGAAGTACATTATAATTCAAATAAAAATCCTAGTAGCATAATGAGTGAGGAAGATGTAATTAAGAACAGATTATTACATAAGTATAAAAAACTTACCAAAATTTCCGCAATAGCGGATAGTAAAGATAAAAAGAACAGTAACAAAAATAAATCAATTAAAGGAGATAATAAATTAAAAATAATGAATAAAGTAATTGGCAAAAGTGCAATCAAACTTAGGAGAACCGAAAATAATATGCATTCTGTGGGAAATATTAACAATGTCACGGCGTCCAAGTTAACAAATAATAGTGATACTTCAAAATATAATGATATTGATGGAACAAGCAATGGAAAAAACATTATGGTATCGAATATTGCAAATATCAATCAGAATACGGAAGCAAATCGGGACAGCCAAGAATTAGTTAGCGTTATGCAATTCGACGAGTGCGATAAGGATTTGAGTGAGACAACAATCCATGCAAACAATGAAGAAATGACCAATGAAAACATTAGTGCGGGGTCGAGTAATACCGAAATAAATGATCAGATTGATAAAATGTTGCATGACTTTAACGAGTTAGATAACGTGATGCAATTTGATGATTGTGGTGAGGACTCGAGTAAAATAACAAAAGATAATGACAAAGAAAACGAAACGATGCCCGACAATTACGTGCAGGATAAACTACGATATGACAGTTACGACAAAGGACCATATATAATATACGTTGAATCTTATAATAAAAACATAGGACGTCTGCATCCTATGGCACTTGGTAAAAAAATTCATGATGCATGGCCAAATTTGAAAACAAATCTGGAAGAAATTAGAGTAATTGGCAAAAACAAAGTGAAATTGATTTTGAGTAATGGTGTGACAGCTAACAGAATATTAGATAATGATTTCTTCAAATCGAATAATCTAAGAGCGTATATCCCTAAATATTTAACGGTGCGGACCGGAATCATTTTTGACGTTGATAGCGAATTATCTGAGGATGAAATTTTAGATGTCATCGAATCCGAGTATCCGATAGTGGGTGTAAAATGTATAAGATCAAAAAAAGAAAATCATAAGATATACAAATCACAATGTGTTAAACTCACTTTTAAAGGGACAAAATTGCCAGAAAAAGTAGCGATCCACTCGGTCAAATGCCCAGTAACACCATTTGTGAAAAAAGTAATCCAATGCCACAAATGTTGGAGATTCGGACACGTTCGTGATCAGTGTCGAGGAGAGGTTAGATGTCCAAAATGCGCAGATAAGCACGGCTCACAAGAATGCATAAATACAGATGACTTAAGATGCTGCTTGTGTTATAGTAAACATGCAGCATATAATAGGGAATGCCCAATATTTATGAAATACAAGAAAATATATGAAATAATGGCAACACAAAATTTAGCTTTTCACGAAGCACGGTCAGTCGTAGAAAACAACAAATATGCCAGAATAACCAGGGGTAGCCTAATCAATCTAGACAAAGAAAAGAATTTCCCGGTGATAAACACAGAACTCAGGAAAAGTTCACAAATTAACAACAGCATTCTTAGAAATAAATTTGAAATTTTATCTGACTTGGACGATAAAAATGATGAACTGGTATCGGACAGCACACCAATAAGGTACAGACCTCTCAAGAGAAACATCGGCAATGAACAAGAGAGAACCATATATAATAACATGAACAATACAAAAGAAGATAAATCAAAAGGTGAACCAAATGAAAGGAACAAGGTACATACAGATAGGGAAGATGTTAGAGAAAAACATCAAGAGCAAACGATTTTGAAAATTGAAGGAAGACACAGAAGAAGAAATGTAGAAGTATACTACGATAGGAGGAGAGATATAAACAAAAACGATAGTGAAAGGATAAATCCGAATATTCAGGAAGACAACGATAGTGATAATGAAGAGAAAAAAAAGATGATGAAACGATACTTCAGAGAAATTTTTAATAATATACAAACAAGATTAAGATATAAAACAAATGAAGAAACAGACAAAATATGGACAGCCTTAGAAGAGGAAATTGATTCATTATGTATTGAAAAAACAACACATAGAAATAAGTCAGAAACCAATCAAACAAATAAGGTTAAAGAAAATACGGTTATAAAATAACATTTTGTATAGAATAGAATATAATTTAGAGGTATAATTGTGTAAGTAATACTAAAGGAGAAATTTATCTTTTCAGTTTTTATAATAATATTATTTACAACTATTATAATATAAATAAGCTTAAATGGACCTGAAAATTTTGCAATTAAACTGCAGATCGCTAATGGCCAACCAAGGCAGTATAGAATATTGCCTTTGGGAGCAAAAGATACATATTGCATGTTTTTCTGAGACTTGGCTCAAGAAGGAATATGACTATTATTTCAAAGGTTACAGAATTTTCAGAGAAGATAGAAATGACGGTTATGGAGGTGCCGCCATTCTAGTGAAAGATACTATAGAATCCGAAAAATTTCATCTCACTTTCCAGAACGATGTAATACAGATTTGTGCTGTAGTCATCAAGTTGAGAAATCCAATTTGTGTACTATCAATATATTGTTCTCCGAACGCATTCGACTCTCTTCATAATATTAAAACATATATTGAAAATATTTCAATGCCAGTGATTGTCACTGGGGACTTCAATTGTAAGAACATGGCATGGGGATGTGAAAAAAACGATAGAGGGGGTGAGATCCTCTACAATTATTTGGAGGAGCTCAATCTTATCATCCTGAATGATGGGAGACCTACCACCATCAGCTCAGACAGAAGAAAAGCCGCTGCGTTAGACCTAACTTTCTGCTCAGGTAACCTTTATGATAATCTCAACTGGGACATTTTTCCTGACAGCTTAGGTTCCGATCATGCCCCAATAAGTATCAAACTGAGAACTAGCTTCGAAGTCAACAGTTATCATTACCCTTCACGAAAGTGGAACACAAAAAGAACGGAGTGGAACAAATTTACATCGGAAGTAGACAGCATCCTTCAAGAAGAAGTGATTCCAGAAGATAATGAAAGTAAATACGATCAATTAATTAAAATCATATATAGAGCTGCTAGGACACACCTGAAAGAAAACAAAATAACTGAACTCAAACAACCCAAACCTGCTGCTTGGTGGGACGAGGAATGTAACATACAAATTCAAAAGCGAAAGGACGCTTTTAAAAAATGAAACAGGTAATGAATTATAAAAACTTCATAGAGTACCAGAAAGTAAACGCCATAACAAAAAAGTTCTTCAAAAACAAAAAAAGGGAAAAATGGATAAATTTGACTAATTCCTTAGACGGCAATGTAAACTCATCCAAATTGTGGAACTTAATCAAATCCTTTAACAACAAGAATAATCGATCCACTCAATTTATTCCTGGGAACTCCGATTTCTACGAATCCATCCTAAAAATTTTGCTCCGGACTCAGCCCAAAGGGAAGCCATGGTTAACATGCCTCATATTATTGACACAAATATCTCCAATTTAAACGCCAAATTTAGACTAGAAGAACTAAACCTATTTCTGAAAACTAAAAAGGATAGCGCTCCCGGAATAAATCACATTACATATATAATGTTACATAGGTGTCCTTTAAAATTTAAACAACTTATCTTAGAAAACTTTAACTCAATATTATCCACTTGCTGGACTCCTAAAGACTAGAAAAAAATTTTGCTTATACCAATCCTAAAACCTCAGAAAGATCCAAGACTTGTAGAATCATACCGACCCATCGCCTTATTATCATGCTTACATAAAACCTTCGAAGGCCTACTGAAAAGAGGACTTCAATACTATATAGAAAATAGATCTTTATTAAATGATTGCCAGATGGGTTTCAGACGTGGTCGTGGTACAATTGACCTACTGAGTGTATTATCGAATGATATACACATCTCAAACTCAAGGAATGGATACTTACTACTAATAGCCGCAGATATCCACAAGGCCTATGACAATGTGGAGCACAATATATTGAGACGAAAATTAAATAGTATGAATCTTCCACATAACATTACCAAGGTTATCATGTCACTATTAGATAACAGGGCAATTTACATTAAATTCAAAAATAAGATTATTGGTCCAAGAGTTATTTCTACGGGTCTACCACAAGGCTCAATTTTGAGTCCTCTACTGTTCAATATTTACATGTCTGACCTTAACACACAAACAATAAATGGAGTTAAAATACTCCAATATGCTGATGACATATTTATATATTGCTCTGGTGTATCAATGGAAGAATGCAAAAAGAAAATCCAAGACTCTCTTAATAAAGTATCAGCGTGGCTTAACGCTAACAATTTAAGTCTATCTCCGACCAAATCAGAAGCGATCATCTTTAGCAGACATAGAAAACCGTTGAACTCTCTCGTTTTAAACATAGGCAACATGCAGGTCAAATTATGTGGCAGTATAAAAATTCTAGGAGTAACCTTCGATAAAAACATGTCCTTCCAGACACACATCAGAGAAGTGGTAAAAAAATCGGAAAAAGGACTCAATATTATTAAAAGACTATCAGGAACTAAATGGGGAGCACATCCGACCTCCCTTATATCTGTTTACAAAGCCATCGTAAGATCTCATATTGATTACGGATGTCAGATTTATGGAGGATTATCATCTAAGAATCAGTATACCCTAGACATGGTGCAATTCTCAGCACTAAGATTATGCCTGGGGGTTATAAGATCAACACCTTGCAACTCCCTTTTAGTGGAAGCTGGCGAATCTCCATTAAAAATTAGAAGAGAAATACTTACGAACAGGTTTGTAATTAAAAAATTTAACTCAGATTACACGTTCTTTATAAAACAACTACAAACATTAGCTGAGCTGCACTATAGAATGATTTACTGGAAGAATAAACCTACTCCCCCTCTGATAACGGCTTTCTACCGCATCAAACCCTTGGAAGATATGACTTATACGAACAGTAAACTTCCAGCTTTTCTATTCCCACAGAATTACTCTTTTTCCAAGAATTACATCTCTTGGTGTCAGGTACCTTATATTGCACACAATATCAAAAACCATATTAAAAACCTAGAATTTGAAGAATGGTTACAACACAATTACAAAGACTTTACAGTCATTTATACAGACGGATCCAGAAGGGAAAATGACGTCGGCTGCGCGTTTTTCGTCCCTTCCAAAGATAATCGATCTCAATTCAAATTACCTAGCTTTGCATCGGTATTTACAGCAGAGATAACAGCCATAAATGCGGCTGTAGACTACGTTAAAAATGAAAAGCTCAGAAAATCAATAATTTTTACAGACTGCAAATCCGCCCTTTTGGCTTTGAACAAACCAAGAGAAGATGCAAATTTTTTGACTCTTGATACCATCCACAAAATAGAAGCCCTCCTGGTTTCTGGATATATAATAAAGTTAGCCTGGATTAAAGGCCATTCCTCAATTTGGGGAAATGAACGGGCAGACGAACTGGCAAAAGAAGCATGCACGGCTGCAGTTCCTATGAAAAAGGCGCCAATAACGGATTTAAAAGGATTAATAAGAACTCTAGGACTAAGACAATGGCAAAACGATTATGACCTAGAATCGACTACAAAGGGCTCTTTATTTAAACCCTGCAAACCCCAAGTCACATTTAGTACCTGGTTCAGCAATCTAAAAATGACCAGAGAAGACATTTCTATGATAAATAGAATTAGATGCGCTCACACCTTTTGTAGATCTCATTTATACAAAATTGGACAAACACAGGACCCCTTCTGTTCCTGTGGACCAGAATTTCAAACAATAGACCACATCCTTTGGAAATGCTGCCTATTCACAAAACAGAGAGAAGAATTTTTGCAAGAACTATATAGGAACAATATATCTTTCCCCATTAACACGGCAATAGCTATGGCTTTGAATAAACCCAATCTTTACAAAAATATACTGAATTTTCTACATAATTGCAAAATCAGGGTTTGATATATATGTTGTGTATACGTGTGTATATCTATTTATGTATATGTATATGTATAAATAGGTAGATATTTGTTTAGGCATAGTTGTATGTATTTGGGTATATATAGATATTGTATGTAGCTATGTTAGCATATACCATAAATTAGATTCCATTATGTTTATGTAATAACAAGATTATTGATCTGTATTGAATAATGTACACCAAAATATGTAAATGTTGCCAAATGACCTAACGGTCGAAGGCCAAATGAATAAATAAAAAAAAAAAAAAAATAAAAGAATGCTTACGGGGTTGTTCTCAGAAATGTACACTTCTCAATAAGCACAAATTCAATTAAATTAAAAATATCAAATCAGGGACATGTCGTCGTAAATATTAGACATAGAATAACAAAAAAAACCTCTTAATATGTTTATTTGTTGATCTGGAAGCATACAGAAATACCAGAAATATTTATAATATTCACAAATTATTACATAATACGCGTCAAACCACCGAGAAAGTCGAACAACATAATACAATGCACTCGCCGTCAACTCTTCTCAATTATGCAATACACCTTAAAATTTTAGATTGTTTCCTTTGGATAGATGAAATTCTTGATTTACTGGCGCAGCCCCACAAATCGAGGTAGTAATCCTCGAGCCTTATATACTGCAGTAAACGAAGATTAAAAAAGGGTATAACCTCTGTTTTTTTTACTGTGCTCCGAATTGCATTAAATTTTGGAATTAGGTTCATCTTAACCTCAAGTTTAAAAATCAAAAGCCACCCTCTTGCGGGGTTGCGACCCTTTAATAAATAATTGGACAATGAGCCGTTTTATCGCTAGTAAATGTTTTTAATATTATAGGATATAATTAAAAAATATTTTTTTAGTACATTTACCTTGCAATAAAATCATTTTCAACTCCGTGAAAACCCTAAAACCCTTCAAACAACCTCTAAATTGAAAAAAAAAACACTTAAAAATAAATTTCGTTATGCAATAATAAGAAGTACGTATAAAGTAAATAACATTTTATGTTTTCTATCTTGATTAACAAATTTTCGATCTTTTTCAGACCCTTAAAAACAACCCCTTGATGAAAAATTGTTTGATCATTTCAATCATTTTGAAATTGAAAGAAAATTTAGAAATTCAAAATGATATAAATGTTATTTCAATTTCTCGAAAATAATTACCATATCCATAATTTGTTCGACTCTTAAAACTACCCTTGAGAAAACAGTTAATGAATTCGATAACAAATTGAAAAATTATTTAATAAAACTAAAAAATATTTTATAGGTAATCATAATTTATTTCAAACTGAAACAACATTTACTACTCAATGTCGGAGTTGCTGTTAATAATCCTTCATTCATTACCCAATCAGTTGGGTGAAATTTTTGTTGCCAAGCCATATCTGTGTTTAAAGCTAAACTCTTCTACTATGCTCATTTATGGCACCAACGATTGGAACCAAAGAAGCTAATCTAACAGCAGTGTTGTTTGTGGCAGCTTTCATAAAAATATAGGTTAGGTTATATGTTGTCCTTTGTAACACTAGTACTCAGTATAATTTTGTCTAAACTTGTATATTAGTTGTTTTTGTTACTGCAATTATTAAACTTTCATTTAACTATAGTGATATAAAACTATATTAATTTATTCAACACGTGGAACTTTTTTTTTATAAATACACATAAGCATATAAATATATATATATATATATATATATATATATATATTTATATATATATATATATATATGTTGAAAATGTTTATATATATAAATATATATATATATATATAATATATATATATGTCAATAGTTTTGCATATATACATATATATATATATATATATATATATATATGTCAATAGTTTTGCATATATATATATATATATATATATATATATATATGCAAAACTATTGACATATATATATATATATATATGTATATATGCAAAACTATTGACATATATATATATATATACTAGCAAACCCGACGAACTCCGTTTCGCCACCAGATGGTTTCGTGAGAAAAATGAAGAAATTTTTTGTTTGTTTTATATTTGAAAAGGAAAAATTTGATCAGGAAGGAAAACCCGACTTATTTATATATATAGAAGATAATCTATTTGCAATTTCTTAGCTATAAACCTTGCGGAGCCCGAGAGCTTTCCAACGAATGCAAAATTGTCGAAATCGGTTCGTGCGTTCTGGAGTTATTTTGTCAGGAAGGAAAACCCGACTTATTTTTATATATATAGAAGATAATCTATTTGCAATTATTTAAAACAATTATTGATTATTTTTATTACTCGAGTTTTTAATTACTGTGCGTGAAGTTCCAGCAATTTGCATTAGGGCACGATGCCATGCACCACTAATTTCCTTAGCTATAAACCTTGCGGAGCCCGAGACCTTTCCAACGAATGCAAAACTGTCGAAATCGGTTCGTGCGTTCTGGAGTTATTTCGTCAGGAAGGAAAACCCGACTTATTTTTATATATAGAGATAAGAAGATAATCTATTTGCAATTATTTAAAACAATTATTGATTATTTTTATTACTCGAGTTTTTAATTACTGTGCGTGAAGTTCCAGCAATTTGCATTAGGGCACGATGCCATGCACCACGAATTTTCTTAGCTATAAACCTTGCGGAGCCCGAGACCTTTCCAACGAATGCAAAATTGTCGAAATCGGTTCGTGCGTTCTGCAGTTATTTCGTCAGGAAGGAAAACCCGACTTATTTTTATATATATAGATAGATATATATATATATATATATATATATATATATATTTATATATATAAACATTTTCAACATATATATATATATATATATATATATATATATATATATATATATTTATATGCTTATGTGTATTTATAAAAAAAAAGTTCCACGTGTTGAATAAATTAATATAGTTTTATATCACTATAGTTAAATGAAAGTTTAATAATTGCAGTAACAAAAACAACTAATATACAAGTTTAGACAAAATTATACTGAGTACTAGTGTTACAAAGGACAACATATAACCTAACTTATATTTTTATGAAAGCTGCCACAAACAACACTGCTGTTAGATTAGCTTCTTTGGTTCCAATCGTTGGTGCCATAAATGAGCATAGTAGAAGAGTTTAGCTTTAAACACAGATATGGCTTGGCAACAAAAATTTCACCCAACTGATTGGGTAATGAATGAAGGATTATTAACAGCAACTCCGACATTGAGTAGTAAATGTTGTTTCAGTTTGAAATAAATTATGATTACCTATAAAATATTTTTTTAGTTTTATTAAATAATTTTTCAATTTGTTATCGAATTCATTAACTGTTTTCTCAAGGGTAGTTTTAAGAGTCGAACAAATTATGGATATGGTAATTATTTTCGAGAAATTGAAATAACATTTATATCATTTTGAATTTCTAAATTTTCTTTCAATTTCAAAATGATTTTTTCAAACAATTTTTCATCAAGGGGTTGTTTTTAAGGGTCTGAAAAAGATCGAAAATTTGTTAATCAAGATAGAAAACATAAAATGTTATTTACTTTATACGTACTTCTTATTATTGCATAACGAAATTTATTTTTAAGTGTTTTTTTTTCAATTTAGAGGTTGTTTGAAGGGTTTTAGGGTTTTCACGGAGTTGAAAATGATTTTATTGCAAGGTAAATGTACTAAAAAAATATTTTTTAATTATATCCTATAATATTAAAAACATTTACTAGCGATAAAACGGCTCATTGTCCAATTATTTATTAAAGGGTCGCAACCTCGCAAGAGGGTGGCTTTTGATTTTTAAACTTGAGGTTAAGATGAACCTAATTCCAAAATTTAATGCAATTCGGAGCACAGTAAAAAAAACAGAGGTTATACCCTTTTTTAATCTTCGTTTACTGCAGTATATAAGGCTCGAGGATTACTACTTCGATTTGTGGGGCTGCGCCAGTAAATCAAGAATTTCATCTATCCAAAGGAAACAATCTAAAATTTTAAGGTGTATTGCATAATTGAGAAGAGTTGACGGCGAGTGCATTGTATTATGTTGTTCGACTTTCTCGGTGGTTTGACGCGTATTATGTAATAATTTGTGAATATTATAAATATTTCTGGTATTTCTGTATGCTTCCAGATCAACAAATAAACATATTAAGAGGTTTTCTTTGTTATTCTATGTCTAATATTTACGACGACATGTCCCTGATTTGATATTTTTAATTTAATTGAATTTGTGCTTATTGAGAAGTGTACATTTCTGAGAACAACCCCGTAAGCATTCTTTTATTTTTTTTTTTTTTTTTATTTATTCATTTGGCCTTCGACCGTTAGGTCATTTGGCAACATTTACATATTTTGGTGTACATTATTCAATACAGATCAATAATCTTGTTATTACATAAACATAATGGAATCTAATTTATGGTATATGCTAACATAGCTACATACAATATCTATATATACCCAAATACATACAACTATGCCTAAACAAATATCTACCTATTTATACATATACATATACATAAATAGATATACACACGTATACACAACATATATATCAAATCCTGATTTTGCAATTATGTAGAAAATTCAGTATATTTTTGTAAAGATTGGGTTTATTCAAAGCCATAGCTATTGCCGTGTTAATGGGGAAAGATATATTGTTCCTATATAGTTCTTGCAAAAATTCTTCTCTCTGTTTTGTGAATAGGCAGCATTTCCAAAGGATGTGGTCTATTGTTTGAAATTCTGGTCCACAGGAACAGAAGGGGTCCTGTGTTTGTCCAATTTTGTATAAATGAGATCTACAAAAGGTGTGAGCGCATCTAATTCTATTTATCATAGAAATGTCTTCTCTGGTCATTTTTAGATTGCTGAACCAGGTACTAAATGTGACTTGGGGTTTGCAGGGTTTAAATAAAGAGCCCTTTGTAGTCGATTCTAGGTCATAATCGTTTTGCCATTGTCTTAGTCCTAGAGTTCTTATTAATCCTTTTAAAT